ATAAAAGTTAATAAGTTCAAAGTGTTACTTAAAATTTAAATATAACTAAAAACCAAAAATCTGTTCAACCAGAAAAAAAAAGACATACAGTCCACAACAAGTTCTTTCTATAACTCGTCACCTTTGAATAAAGTGGTTCTAACGCGACTTTTTTGAAAAATATCTATTTTTCGATTGTTTATTTTTTAGTTTCTTAATTATATTGAAAAATATCTAAAAAATATTAATTTCTTAGAAAGTTACAACAAATCAAAAGGTTCGTAATATTGAATACTTTATAAACAATTTTTAAATTATAAACTTTAGAACTGTCTTATTTTAAGAAACAGATTATGGGAGCAAATAGGATAGTGTTTTGTCTACATAACATCCCTTGGGTAGAAATTAGAACCCTAACAAGATTAAACTATTTGTTTAAAATTTTGTAACTAAAAATAAAATTATTTCTTATATTATAGTATAAATAATTGCTTCCGTAATTATATTTAAAATATTAATCCTACAATGTCATCAGTGTAAAATGTGCATTGCACTTCAAATATAAAATGTTTTGGTTTTAACAATTATAGTTAACATGCCACAGTGGTTGGAAAAATATGTATAACGTTATACATAATTGTATATTTATAAATAGATAAAAAAACAATAGGTATATTATTTTGAGTAAAACAGTAAAAAAATTTTACCGAAATACATAAATAGAAAATACTTATTGCTCCTATGAAGATAAAAATGAAAAATTTCTATGTAGCCAATACTTGATTTCATTGGAATAAAAAAGTCCTTCGACTAGTTTTACTACTACAACACGGTATTTTATATTATTTAATTTATTTGTTTTGTTAATATATTAATTTTTTAATGGTAAGTGCTAATTTATTAACACATATTTAGTATAAACGTTGGTATCATTGAAATCGAGCCTAACATTTGCTTAAATCAAAAAGGTTCTAAATAATATAATAATAATAAAATATTACATTTAATCAGAACGAAAAGGTTCTATACAAAGACCTTTTTATTCTCGACGTCCTATTCCAGTAATTTGTCATTTACTCAACTTAACTAAATAATAATTAATAATCAAGTTTTATTACATTCAGTAAAACAATCTGTATATACAGCTAAAATATTAAATTAACTTCAAATTAGAAAAATTAGAAGTTACAAAAGAAATACCTGAAAAAAATCGCTCTCCTGAAAAGTATAAAACTTTGCGTTATAACCTTTTTATTTTAAAACGATAAAATATTAATTTTTTTAATCATAATAATATTTTAAAACTTTAATGAATATTTCAAAGTAATTCAGAAGGATTTAAATGCATTAAACGAAATATTTGATAAAAATATCATAAAAAATGAATTATCCCAATTATTGATTTTTATTCTCAGTTAACATATTTTTTTACGAGTTTAGATGTCTTATAATCTCACAGCTATATATTGTGCCTTTATTAGTAATGTCAAGTTTATTAGTTAACCTATAACACGAGTTTACAATGAAAAAAGTTCTACTTCAAAATAATTTATTTTTCTATATTTCCCAAACCATATCGATAAACTATATGCAATTGTAAGGTTATAAACAAAAAAAATTGTTTTTAACCGCTTAAAGTTTAAAATAATTCATATTATAACCATTTACTCGTCAAAGAAATTTGAAATTGTCATTATCTTTGATAATATACAATAGAATTCCAATTTAAAGTAAAAATAATTAAATGCTCATCTTCGGAAATTATTATGCATTTATCATTCTTCAGTAAATATACATTACTAAAATCTAACTGACAATTCTTATACATTTTTATCTACTTATATTTTTCACGTGTTATTATTCTTGTAGTTTTTAAGATAGTTATTTTAATTATAGCTTCTATGCATAGCTGTTATAAATAGTTTAAAAGAAAAATATTGATACTAAACACTCATCTTATTTTAATTCAGCCATTAAATTGAAATATATATATATATATATATAGAATATTTAATTTGAAATATTTATATAAACGCACTATCTCTCCCTTTAGTGATACCCTTGGATGTTATTAGTTGCTTGTTATATAATACTTATGTATTATATATACTTAGTTCTAAATTATAAATTACTGTTTTCTCCTATTAATACCAGTATTAATTAAGCTAGGCAAGTTAGGAAC